CATCTCCAATCCAAGCTCCAGGGAGATAGCACACCTGGTGAGTTCTTGGGTCACCACAAAATACTTTGGTTTCAATCCCACACAACAAGGAGACTCTCACAATGGCTATTCTTTCTTTCTTGGTCAGCTCTCTTTCTGAGTCCTGCTCCCTGTTCCCACTAATCTCATCCTTCAGTGGCTGAAAATATGTAGCTCCAGTGGTTCCTCTGGAACAGAGTATCTTCTGATTGTTCTGCTCCAAACTGTCACCCTTCTCCAGGGAGTTTCCTCTTCATTGGTTTTCCTCAACTCGGCATTCTCCACATTTGCGCGCTATTGCTTTTCCATCTCTCGTGCTTCTTGTTCTTTTTGCAGTTTCCCTATTCTGTCCAAGAACTCCACAGTTTCTCTTATTCCTCAGCAGGTGGACACCCACCACGTAAGCACTGTCACTTTTTCTTCTGATAGTATAACCAGCTTACATTACTGCAATATACACCATGTTAGTCTTGCGGAGGAACGCAAACATTGCACATTCTTTGCAGGTGTGCAAAGAGGGGAGAATCCGTTAGAGAATCCTTTCCATCCATTGTGTGGTATAGAATAAGGAGGAGGAAGAAATGTAACTTTATTGATTTCCACATGCTGTTAGGTTCATGGGCTACTGTCTTGAGCTGGTCAGTTGAAGTCAGTTGACTTCTCTGCTGCTCATGCTGACAATCTCCTACTTCCCAGAATTCCGCAGGTATATGCATATTATCCTTGCCACAACTGCACTCATTGGCACCTCTCATAAAAGGGTTTGGGGGAGATCTGGAGATCTCCTCAGTATAGAGATCTGTTCTAGAATCTCTTGATCTCCCCCCTTTTAAAGGTAGATAGAATCCACCACCTTATAAGGCATCCTGTTCCACAATGTGAGCTGTTCAAAAGTGAAATGGACTGAACTGGTTTTGCACAACATGGTGACCCAATGTGGGTAACTAGCTATGTAGGTTGTCAGTCACATCATGTGAACCTAGATCTCTTCCCCCAGGGTGTTTTTTGTAGGCAACAAGCCACCCTCCCAATCCATGGTTTGTTCTAGGAATTGTTGGTTTGCCATGTTATTTGAACTGTACATGTTGCATATTACATAGCTGTTTATGTCCCTATTGTAAAGCCTATTTTAAAAAGAAGCCTACATTTTGACAGTTGTCAAAATTCCTTGATCCTGCAAATAGGATTGTTCACACCTTTTCCCTTTCCCAAGTCACCACATGGGTAAGGATGAAAAAGGTGAAGGACACTGAAAACAGTCAGCTCCAACCAAAAAACAAGAGGATCCCACTGAAGAGTGAATGATCTACATGTCACCCCCTTTTGAAAGATCCTCTTGCAACTTCTCACTTAACAGCACACTAGTTGACAGCTGTCCAATAAGAAGCAAAGCAGCAAATTAAATTATTGTTAGTCTTGGTTCATCAGTGTTGCTGGGTGATGCCTCCTGTACTTTCACTGGAGTCTCTCACCAGGGAACTGATAGAACAAGGCTGTGCATTTGGAATAATTGGAGTTGCATAGTTGTGCAACTCCAAACTACCAACCATTTTAAAACTTACACAAATATTTGCCCAAATTTTGGGTGCAAATTTTTTAAGGTGATGAATCAGTGTCTGCTGGAACATTTTGAAGGAACTGTCACTTCAGAGTTCACAAAAGTTAACTCTCATATAAATGAATAAAAAAGGGAGACAATCCATAGAGATTTCAAAAGGGGTTGGAGGTGTAGCAGGGAGTGGAGACAAACCAGGTCCTGCTGCAGTCACTGGGAATACCTGCCTGAGAATCAAATGGGAATGATCCCAATGGTGATCCCCATCATTCATTGGCTGCACTGTGGTTGTCACATGAATAACAACATTCCATGGACAAGCCATTTTGCATAGCTTTTTCACAGGGTGGCCTGCCATGTCATGTGACCTTACCTACTGCCTTGGAATGGCTAAGCTCTTTGTTAGAGCTTGTTAGAGGCAGGAGTCCACCCGTTGGACGTATTCAAGGACCTTTCCAGCTCTCTGATTCTAAAGTAGGTGCAGAGCCCTCCAAGATTTGATTGGAACAGAGGCACTAGGTGTTAGCTGTTTTACCAAAACACCCATTGTTGCCATTAACTTTGCTGAGGGAGGCAGCATATAGTTAAAATCCAAGGAGCTATGCAACAGGGTAATAGCAGATGGGGTGGAGGCTGGGTCAGCAATCTGTAGAACAGATGAGTTAAGTAGTTGTTCCCCCAACTGACCCCCGCTCAGATCAAAATCAGTTTTCCATGGCTGCTGTGAAATGGATCCATCTACATTTTAGCCATCAACAACTTTGGTCTGGACAATCCCAAAATAGTTTCAGCACCATGGTTAGCTTTGTTCAAAGTTCCAACTAAGGCCCAGAATGGATACATGACCCTACTGACCTTGGAGCCTCTGGCTCAGCCGTGCAATGTGGGTGGATCCCCTGAGGCCCTATAATGTGCATGACGGGTGGCTAGGAACATGGCGAGTTGCCAGCCACTTTGTACCCCCACACAGTCTTTGGAGGTATCCCCAAATCTTTCCCTCTCCCTACTACCACCATGACTTTTTAATGCAAAAAATGGGGTTGAGAGGGATTTGCATTCTCTTTTTAAGATCTCTTTCCCCACTTTTAGTCCACATCAGGGAACAAGCTTTTCCCTTTGTCCTGAGTCTCTAGGGGCTTCAGAAAGGTCAACAGAGTACCCCCTCTTTTTAAAGGGAAACAGTTTGACAATTGGGACTCCTTTAAAACACATTTTGAGTAAGAAAGTGGTAGAGTGTCCTTGTCCAACCCACCCATCCCCATCCCATTCAATAACCCCTTCTTAGAGGGACTCTGATTTTTGACAGCCACTTGTCAAACTCAATTTCCTTTAAGCTTTCCCAAGACATTACAGGGTTAGGACAAACGGCAAAGTTTGCTCCTCTAAGGGAAGTAAATAAAGATACCCCCCAAATGCCCCCTTCTCAGTAAAAGATTCCTCCCTTGCAGCTCAGACAAGTCACATTCTGCAAGCTGCCAAGCAAAACCAAGAGTGGGGGGATGGATTTCGTGCCTCAGCAGGGGCGATGTCCAGGGTGGGCATCTGTGCGCACTGTCCAGCTGAGGCTTGAAAGCTGCACATTGGCACTAATGCAAATGATCACATTTCCAAAAATTGTAATCCTCCAAAAATGGGAATAATCCCCCCATTTTGGTGCAGAATAATACCAACAGCCATGACCAGCTTGTCCAAGGTGTTGCTGAGGCACTTAGAGGGAGAGACTGCTCCTGGCTGTCAAAATGGGGATCATGAAAAGCGACTTGACAGCCGGCTTTCAAACTCTCTGAAAAGGGGGGGGGAACGGGGGGGGGAGCTCTGGCAGTGCTGCTTCAGCACTTCAGAGGTGGCTGGCAGTGGCAGTCACACACTAGCTGCTTGCCAAAAACAAGGGAAGGTTGCTTTTCTTGCCAAATGGCTCATAAGTGGTTTGGGATTACCTACATTAGGTCATCTTGTCTGGATTCAGACAACACAACCCATCATGGGTTCACATGACATAAATGCCCAGCATGGCTTCTAAAGTTATAAACCATGGTAAGTAGTCATGTTGTCAGAGATGCCGTACAGCATGCTTTCTCAAATGGAGCAACTTAAGGAACTGGGCAGTTTGGATTCAGAATATTAGTGCAGTACAGAGAGTGTATAAATACCCCTCCAGCAAGACTTCCCTGATCTGATTCAGGGCAGGCATGAAAAAAACGTAGGGGCTTCTGAATACAGATTTGTCAGTAGCTTATGTAATTTGACCCTGAGGAGTAGGCCCAGGTGAAGCAATCTGTCCTGCTTGAATGCAGGGCCATCCATTTACCAGTTTCTGTCCAGAGTCCTGTGCCATATATTTATTTATTTTCTTTGCTACCAGCTAGTCTCTTGGGAAATACAGAATATATTTTAATATATTCAGAATTAAATTCAGAAAGGTCCAAATTTCTGCTCCCAAATGCATAGAAGGTTAAATGGCTTCTCTTAAAAAATATACTCTTAAAAAAGCTGGCATTTTTAAGAGTATTTATCATGTGTGTTTTAAACACCAAAAAATACAAAAAACAACCCTATATTGCAGCCATGAGGTTAACATATCCAGATATTCAGCTTAGGATCCGTGATTTCAGCTAAATGAAGGAAATCGGAAGAGGGCAGACGGAGGCCAGTCAGTCCTGGCCACCGCATAATATAGCATTTTTCCACCTGGCCTAATACAACCCTGCCTCTGTTTGTATTGGTCATCTAGCTAATCCAAAGAAGTCTTTTTGAATAGACCTCTGGGCCTGATTGGTTCAGCACATGTGAGTAGGGGACACACCTGATCTCCTGTTTAGGTCTGCACATAAGTGTAGAATTTTACAAATTTCATCTTCCTCATGCAGTCTTCCTGCTTAGATCCCGTAACTGGACAATGAGCAGGGCATTCTACTAGATAAAAATTTGAGCAAAACACTACAAGGCGTTCTGTACTTGCCCCGTCTTTTCACTTGTCCATGACTTAATGAAATGGAAAGTGTTCAGTAGCTAAAGGATCAAGACTACCCCCACATTGTTGCTTCTCAACTCCTTTCCTCCTTACTTTTGAGGTTATAGAAAACTTATGCTAGGATTTGTTCTTCCCTTGATTCACATGGAGTGCTAACTTTTGGCAAAGCTGACATTCAGAACAGGTAAGATTATTTTCTCAGCGAACCAAAAATCATTTGTATTAGGAATAGGCAAGTTTTTAAGATGCACAGAATGTAGGCTGGATGATACTGGACATTAGGCACTGCTTGAGTGTATTTATTCTGTTTTAATGCTATTTTGGGTAAAGAGAGGCTACATTCAACATGTATGTGAATGTGTTTGTGTTTGAAGTCAGCATGAATGAATACGTGCAAACATTTGTAGCTCTTGTGCAATGGACAACCTGAACCCTCTTTTAACATTTGCACAGTAGCAAGGATCAAGGCTCCTAAAGTGCCAAGGCAGAGCAGTGAGGAAGAGGAACAAAGGCTGCATTGCATGAAGAGCACAAAAGAGGGAGTACTTCGCTCACCTTGGACCCCTTGCCACCTCCCAGCCGTTCCTAGCCCGGTGATACCTATAACTGTGAATTCTGTTGCACATGGGTTGTATATATGGGCCCCTCTCTGGGTGGGAACCTTGTCTGTATATTGTGATGTACCAAAAGACAGACTCAGCTGCCAGCCTCCAGGCATTCTTGCAGATCAACGTTGTACTTTCATTGCACATGCTGAATGTCAAAAGCTATCAGACATAGGGGTTTCCAGTCAATGGAAGGAATGATTCTGGGTCTTCCACTCAAGCAAATGCAAACAGCTGGATGCCTTTTTGTTTTGTGTTCTCTGCTGCACTGTGCACACACAATGTTTGCTAAATTTTTAAAGGAGCCATTTAGGCTCTTCAGCCCATTAATAAAAGAAGGACCAATAGTTTAAGAAGGGATTTCCTACAGCATGCTGTCAATCCTAACATATACTATATGGAAAAGGAGAGATATGCATCCAACTATCAAATGACAAAAGAGTGGTCTTCAGTTGTTATTATTCAAGTCTTACTGTCATTAACTTGTTTCTGAAAAGTAGATGCTGGGGTTCCGCCCTGGACACACTTCCTTTGATGTGGTAGCCTTTCTCCTTGACCAAAAATGTGGGGAAGATGCTTGAGGCTACTTTGTGGTCAGAAAAATACTGATTTTGTAACTAGTTAAGCACTGCACTTGTGCTCAGTTATATTAATAATAAATTGATAGTAAAATAGTCATTAAGTCATATATTCTAGAACAAGAACAGTGACATTTACAAACAAAAAGTTGGTTCTAGGTTAAATGCAGGCCCTGCTCAGAAAGTCTCTTCTTTCACCTCACTTCTCCCAGAAGTGAACCCTGACAATAAAAACAGACCCTCTGAAGAACCTTCCTTCAATTTAAGTTTGAAAAGATGCTTTGCTTTTGCAGGACTCTGTGGCTGGATTTTCCACAGCCATCGTGGCTGGGGATTGTGGAGAAAGTGGTGTGCCACATTTCTAGGGCAGCAGGGCAGGGATGTCTGCCACCGATGCAATGCTCAGTGGCACACTGGCCATTTGATACTATTTAGGGGGTGCCTTAAATAAAATACTTGGAGGGAAAAGCATTAGCAGGTCATATAACTTCATTAAAGGAATGATGTCAGCACACATTTTCATCCTGCTTTGAGACCAGATTCCCTGATTATTAAAAATTTCCTAAACAATATGGTGAACTTGAAATTAAGCTTTCAAAATGGCTTGATGGGTGTCAGATGCTTAGCAACCCACCTCAAGGTTTTTATTTGTCTTGAAAGTCTGCAAACTGCAAAATGAATGCAATTTGCAAAATAGATCAGCTGCTGTGTAAGCTTCTGGTGGGCAACAAAAATGAAACAACAGGGATTAAGTGTTTTGGTTTTGCTATTTTTCCTGCAGAGTAACTGAAGTTTTCTTGGTGCTTCACAAAATAAACTTAGGGTAAAGTCTGTGAACTTTGCTTCTGTGGCTTGGAAATCCCCAAATCCAGAGGTTTCCAAAATTACTATGCTCTGCCAAGCTGAAGTGGGCAGGGTGCAAGGAGCAAAGGAAGTGATTGTTCCCTCCTTGTCCTCTAGTTCCCTGTATTCCTGTTGTTGTTTAGGAGGGAGCGAGAGGAAGGCTGGAGGAGGCTCCTGGTTGGATTTTTGCCTACCCAGTCTTCTCTCCTTTCTATCTATTAGAAGAGCCCTTGCCCACTCCTGAGGGACATTCAGCATGATTCTGTCTACACCAGCTGTGCAGGGGATGTCTGACTCTCGCCTTTAAAATCAGCACCCTGTTTGCACTCTTAAAAGGAGTTTTCAAAGCCACTGTATGGTTCCTGGGATGCTTGCCCAGAGACTGTAGGACTGTGCTCATAGACTCTAAAGTGCACAAATATACCAAAACAGTGTAAAATCTAAAACAAATGACAACCACTACAGACTCAAACCAATCTAGAGTAAAATATCTAGTAACTCCAATTGAAAAAAAAAAACTTCTAAGCACTTTATTATTTCTCTTTTCTTTCATCTTTCATCTTTTCTTTGGGAGCTACATTTTAATTTGATAATCTATTTTATCTGGACTTGAATATGAAGGGAGTAGAAAGCTCTCTCTCGTGATTTTTGCTTACAGTGAAGAAGGGATTAACCAGGAACCCTCGTTGGAGGTTCAGCACCGAGACTGCTACGGATGTGCCCCACACAAGGAACTGCTAGTTAGCCAGCCATTGTTCTTGCGCTGCAATTTGTTTTCCACACTTTGGAGGCCACAGCACTTTCTAGGTGTGGTTCAACTGCACTGTAGCTGCAATATAGGCAGGTTGGCCATGGTCGGGGCATCTTTTTCCCCCAAATCCTGCCTGTCACCTGACAGCTTCAGGCACTGTTTCAACAAACCATTTCATTAATTCCAGTGTTGGACTAGAACTCCCATTATCCCAAGCCAGCAGGCACTGGGCATGGTGACTGGGGATGGTGGGGCTGTTGTCCAATACTTCTGGAATGTGTCAAGTTGGGGGTGACTGCTATAAATATTAAACATTAAAGGAAAAAAGTTGTAAAAATTTATGAGGCAACAGTCTTATTTGGAAGTTTATTGTCATTATTTAATAATGGTTACTTTTCTTTAAACTTCAGAATGCATGCATCCCTAATTTAAAAGATAACAACAATGGTGGAGGGAAGTCTAATTAAGAACACAAATTGATTATAATCATTCCAGTTATTTGCATTTTTCTTACTTTCTGTTGTAGTTGTAAAATGATTCTAATGAATAAAACAATAATTAATGACCAGCAGCAATGCATGAGAAGCACAACTTTTATCCCAAGAGAGAGTCATGAAAAATTCTAGCTTCCATTCCTACACTTTACCAAGCAACAACAAAATAACAATTGGAGGGAGGGTGTTGCTTTTGCAGGTTATTCATTGGTCCTACATGAAGTCATCCGATAACACAAGGACAGAAAGAACAAGCTGATACAGGGTGGCCACTTAGGTATCATCCCAAAAGATAAAATGACACAGGTTTGCTTAAGATGCTTATGTGAATATATATGTATATAAATGCAGATTTAGAAATCATTATAATTTACACATATTGGCCATAGCAGAGAAGACTGTGGCTAGGTGACTTGTACGCCTGGTGACTTTTGGTGCTAAGCCTTTAACGGGCAAGCTAAAGGCCTCTGCTCTCCTTTCTTAGGATTATTGATCTGTGAACCAGGCATGGACTGGAAAGCCCATCAAATAGGGAACTCCCCTCTGTAAAAATATGATACCTAGGCATTTTCCTACCTATGTAAGAAACTTGTTCAACATCCATTTGGGGTCAAGGGCCTTCAGTCCATCTGCTGCTTTGCAGAGGATAGTGGGGCTTGAATAAAGGGCACAAAATGTTTGCAGAGCACCAGCCAAGCACTTTGGATCTTCGCATCAACCCAATGGAACATAACTTACATCTCATGCTACACACTGCGGGCAGTGCTCAAATGTGAGGGGAGCTGTTGCTATCAGAAAGCTGTGAAAGGATGCCATTTGGCTAGAAGGAGCAGGGTTGGGGAATTTCACTGATGTCTTCCTTTTCCCATATAATTTAAGCACTGACCAAACCAAACTGTAACTGGCAATTTGGCAAGGACGGGACTCTCTGACCCCTGCCATTAGGCACTAGCTTGCTGGTAGCAGAATGTGGGGAGTCGATAGCACAAAGGCTTAATAACTATGTGTATATTCAAGTATAATCATTATAAGCTAGTCTCTAAATCATCACAGTGTTTTTTTATTGTTTGGCTTTTTGCTACTACACCACAGCTACTCATCTGAAATTTTCCAAGTCATTTGGTCTGGAATGGATTAACCAATAACATGCAATGCTCAGAGGCCACTGAAAGTATCACAGTGCGTTGTAATATGATAGTAAGGCTGTAGCCTCAGGCACACTGTCAGAATATTTGGCCTAGAAGCTTTCTTTGCAAGATTTCTGTACTTGTTTGCATAATAGCCTACCTTGCAAATATTTATCCACAACTGAGTTATTTGGCCTTTCACAGTTTTCTCAGACATTTATCTCTCTCATAAGTTTATAATTTTATAGAGAAACCAATGAAATATTAATGTATATTTCTGCATCAAGGAATCAGTCAGATTCTAACAAAAGAACTGCAACAGAAGCATTTGTGCTGACATGCTTTGACTGTTGACTGATACATGCTTGCTGATACAAGAAATCAAGATAGAATATTTGCCCAAATAAATGCACATGAAACAAGGTTTCCTCCCTAAAGAAGGGAGATATATGTCAACAGTTCAAAAGTTATGAGAGGGAAAATACAAAAATTCTGGGACATTCAACATGCCTTCACAGAACTCGACAGTGGTTTTCACAGGACACATCTGTCCTGATCAAATTCTCTGTTCTGTTCTCCTCCCAGCTCAGAAATGTTATTGGGTAGGATGCTTTAATCTTTAATAGCAATGCTCCTAAATGATTCTCAAGAAGCTTAAAAGATGTGTTTTGTTTGCAGCCACTATGTAATTTTGTACATTCAGTGCTCTTATATCATGAAATGTAGAAACTGCTTGAGCTTTTAAAGTAAAAGATGAAAACATATGTCCAAGCTGAGTGTCATTTATTTCTAAAAACTCTTTGTGTTAATATCAGGAATGTTATAAATTTAGAAAGTCCTAGGTAATGCTTTGTACTTGTTGATCCATGATAACAAACTTTCTCTATCATAATACACCAAATGTAGGACAACCTGGCCCATTAGGCTAGAAGAACAGCATCGATCCGGAGTCCAGAGGATGATTTAAGCACAATCCTAGAGCCTCCCCCACTTGTTGGGCAGCATGCCAGTGTTATTCAGAGACCTTCTGCCCTGGGAGCGGGACTCTGAAGGCCGAACTCCTGCCCAGCCCTGCTTTGATGCTGAAGGAGAAAGAAATGCTGGCTCCTTTCCCAAGGTCACTGCTTTGCTGAAGGAGCAGGAAAGGGGGTATGCTGGGGAAGAAGGAGGGGAGGAAGCCAGGGCCAGCCACTTACAATGAGCCCAAATGATACCCCAGCCTTCTTGCCCCCTGCTGGACAGCACGCCATCTAAATGGCTGAAAACAGGTATCCTGGTGGAACATGGTCTGTGAGGTACTGCGGAAGAAACTGCTGGGCCTCACACCATGCATCTGGCACACACCAGCATCCAGGGGAGAAGGTGCTGGATTGCACTCTTAGAAGAGACAGGCAATTAAAGGATGGCTCCTCTTCAGTCCCACTTGGTGAAGAGACAGTTGTACAACTGATATTTTAATAGCCTGCAAGAGATAAAGGAGGCAAATATAATGAAAAAGGATTTTTGGGGAAAAAATGGCAGCCAAAAAGCTAACCTCAGTTCTTCTAAGGGAAGAAAGAGCTCTCTTTCCCTTGATCTTCTTGAGGCTAAACACGTCCACTTCTTTTAATCTCTCCCCTCATAGATCTTTGTTTTCAGTCCCCTGATCATCCTTATTATCTGAACTAGTATTTCACATCTTATCTGGAGTACTGTCCAGTTCTGAGCACCACAGTTTAAGAATGATGTAGACAAGCTGGAAAGAGTTCAGAGTCTGGCAACAAGAATGATTCAGGACCAGAAACAGCCCTAAGCGGAGAGATTGAAAGAAATGGGTATGTTTAGCCTTGAGAAGAGAAGACTGAGGAGAAATATGATAGCACCCTTCAAGAACTTAGAACCACAAAATCATAGAATAGTTGGCTGAGAAGGGGCCAAGAAGACCATCAAGTCCAACTCCCTGCTGTTGCAAGATGTTAGCTACACCATCTCACTCAGATAACTTGGAAGGTAGTCACAAAGAGGAAGGCCAGGGTCTCTTCTCGATCATCCCAGACTGCAGAACATGGACTAAAAGGGTTAAGTTATAGGAAACCAGGTTCCAGCTGAACAACAGGAAGAACTTCCTGACTGTTAGAGCAGTGCAACAATGGAACCAATGATCTAAGGAGGTTGTGGGCTCTCTCACCCTAGAGGCAGTCAGGATGCAGCCAGACAGCCATCTGAAAGGGATGGTTTAACTTGGAGACTTGTACTAAGTGGGGGGCTGGACCCAATTACTCTCTGTCCCCCCCAACTCTACTGTTCTATGATTCTACTACCAATGCATTGTGTTGTAACTGTGGGAGAAGTAGGAAGTTGGACAATTCATAGTGCTGCTTCTGCTTGCTTAAAAAAAAAGTCTAGTGATTGCAAGGGCAGTTTCACAGCTGTGCAGGAACAAAAGTTTTAAAAATAAATTGTGTGATTATTCACAGCTGCATAACTCTGTATGTGTGCAGTGAAAAACAGCTTCCTTCCCCACCACCCCAAGAAACCTACATGAATTTCTTGTCAACAAATCACTTCCCTCTACCTGAAGTCAGTTCAGAAGACAGCATTTGCCCCCCTAACAGCCCAGAAATTTGAAACCTAATGTAGAATTCAATCCCACCCAAATCCACTAGGTGAAGCAATTTTATTACACGCTTTTTTGAGCATTGGATATTAAAAAGAAGCATTTTGAAGGGCCTATTGGTAATAACATAAAGGCCAACAATTAAAAACAGCAACTTTAAATATAACAGAAGCTAGGAAACCAGCTAGGAAGGCAGCTGGACTGTTGGATGAGAAAGCATTCAAAGGAGTGCCAGAGGGGGAGAAAGAGATGATGGTGAATCTACATGAATTCTTTTCCTTTCTCTTTCTGGCAGAGGATGTAAGGCAGATACCAGAGCCTGAACTGAGGCTTTCAGGAAAGAAATCTGAGGGCCTGAGCTAAACAGCTGTGTCAAGAGATGAAATTTTTGACTTCATTGATAAATTGAAATTGAAATAAATCACCAACCTCAGGACATCGTTGGGTTGACATGATCAAATTCTTTGAGGAATAGAATTTACTATTTATTTATTTTATACTTTATAAAATGTTGGGATAACTCCATTAAAACCTGGTGCTATATTATTTTTCACTGATTGTGCTATTTGCTTTATCTCTGTTAGGGCTACTTCCAAAACTAAAAAATGTAATGACCTTATCCAAAAGTTTTGGCAAATCAACATCCCCCCAGCAAAAGAGATCTGTATTCTTTGTGCACAAAAATTTCATAAGAAAATTTCATATAATGGTACTATTTATAAGAGAGATTCACTTTCTCACTACTTTTACAGAGGAATCCTATGTACCCTGGCAGTGTGTTCCAAAGGCCATAGGAAATGTTGCACTCCCTCTCCTGATACCACTGCTTCAGCCTTGGGTAGGGAATCAAGCATGGGGATTCTATGGAAAGTACTGTGTCAGCTGCTTTTTTGAGACAATTAACTTGGAAATGTCAAAAAAGGGTGCCTGACATGGCTTCACTGGATCCTCTGTTGTCATCCCCATCTGCCAAAAGGTAGGTCAGCTAGATGGCTCAGAGGCACATCTAGCTGACTGTTTTGTTTGTAAAAGGGAACTGGATGTAAAGTCATCTTTGTTTTCCTCCTGCCTTGCTTGGCTTTAGCAGGCCAAGCCCAGGGAAGACAGAGGGCTCCAGCTCTTTCTTACAACTCTTTAAAAGTATCAATAAACTTGTGGATAAGGCGATCAAGTAGGCATTGTTTACCTGCATTTCCAAAATGCCTTTGACAATGTCCTCTACCAAAGCCTCCCGAATTTACTTGGTACTCTCTGAACAAAAGAAGAAGACTTCTTATAGATTAGCAACTGTTTAAAGAACAGAATGCAGGAAATTTCCCAGTTAAGGGAAATAAACACTGTGTCCTGGGACCAATACTTTCCATCTTGTTCAAAAATTATCTGGAATTTGGAGCAACAATGCTGATAATACCTAATTACTATGTGTGGTTAAAACAGAAAGGGATCACAAAGATCTCAAAAAGGATCTCTTCAAACTGCATCAAATGACACATGTGGTACACTGTAAGCAAGTGTGAAGTAATGCATATATACGCAGATGGGATTTTAGCGAGCAGTGACTGACAAGAGCAAGATCTTGGGGCTGTGGTGAAAGCTTGGTGAAAAATGTTGACTCAGTGTGCAGCTGCTATGAAAAAGGCAATATCCATGTTAGGCAAAATTTGGAAAGAAACAAAAATAGAACTGCTCATATTGTAGTGCCCATATACAAATCTCTTGTGTGACCACTTTTGGAATACTGTGTATGAAGTTCAGGTTATGACACCTCAAAAAAAGTATTTCAGAGGTGGAAAGGGTACAGAAAAGGGAACAGAAATGGCCAAGATGCTGGCCTTATGAGGAACGGTTACAGCTACTGGAACTGTTCAGCTAGAAAAAAGGCAAGTAAAGGAAGTAATAGTAGAACTGTACAAAGTTATGCCTAATGTTGAGAAAGTGTATAAGGGGTCATGTTCGATGAGGAAGTACAAGGAAGGATAATTAAATCTGCAGATGACAGAAAGTTGGGTGCAATAGCGAATACCCTGGGAGACAGAGATAAGATACAGGGTGATCTCAATAGGTTAGAACACTTGCCAGGGAACAACAGAATGACATTCCATAGGAACAAATGCCAAGTCCTCCATATAGGAAAAAGAAACCAAATGTATCATTACAGAGATGGGGAACACTTGGCTCAACAATACTGCCAATGAAAAGGCTCTTGGGGTTGCTGTAGATCACAAACTAAATATGAGCCTACAATGTCATGTGGCTGCAAAAAGAGCCAATGCTATTTTGGGCTGCATTAACAGAAGCATCACTTCTAAAACACATGAAGTATTGGTACTTCTCCCCATTCAGCACTAGTCAGACCTCACCTGAAATACTGTGTCCACTTCTGTGTACCTAGATTTTAAAAAAATGCAGAAAAGCTAGAACGTGTACAAAGAAAGGAAACAAGGAAGATTCAGGGACTGGAGGCAAAGCCCTGTGAGGAAGGATTGAGAGAACTAGGCATGTTCAGGCTCGAGAAGACTGAAAAAGCATCTTACAAGTACCTGAAAATCTGTCATGAAGCGGAAGGACATGATCTTCTCTTGTTCATTCCAGAGTGCAGGACACGGAAGAGTCATCCCCCTGCAGATCGGCAAGCTGCTGCCTCCCTCCCTCTCATTCCATGGACCTCTACCCCCTGGTCCAGAATCCTAAATCAGCCCCTGAGGCTCTCAGGAAATCATCTCTGTCAAAACGTTCAACTGGCATCCCAAACAACTCTTGCCTTATGAGTAAATTCCTAGGGCATTTAGTGGTTAGCACCCTCCAAATCCTTTTCTGGGGACACTTATCAAGCCATAAGATACATGGATGAAACAATCAGTATCTATTGAGGAAAAGGATACATAATTCAAACTGCAGTTTTACAGTTAGTTGTAATGCATCCCCTTTGTGACCCCTCCAAAAAAGGGGAATATGGCAAATGGCAATATCTGCATACCCAGGAATGAGGCAGGATAGCTACACAACCAAAGCTTCATTGGAAGCATCCCCAAACCATGAAAATTTAGTTTGTACCACTTGATGTTGGCAAAAGATCTGCAATTATGAAATTATGGATATTTCATTGTGCTTGAATTCAGTGGATGACATCACTGGCATTTAAGACAGAGGGACTCCACTGTGTACAAA